CCGTCTCTATTTCTTCGTAGAAACGTTCGATTTCGTCGTCCTCCGCCGTGATAGTGGGCGCATATACTTGCACCATTTTGAGCGTTCGATTTCCCAACTTTTGTAGTTTGACCTTCAGAACAGCGACACGTGGGGATATGATATCACAAGAAATAATGTACGGGACCATTTTCGCTTTTATGATGAAACCGACTCCACCTGTTCTGGGCACATTGTTGGCTCCTTCTCCCAGCAGAATTTCTTCACCGCTTGTCCACCTCGCTGAGACAGCGCGTGCTCTCCTAGTTTCGCATACACCGATAATGTCGGCTTTGATCTTTTCCAGTTGTTGTAGATATACGTCCAGGAGAGAGTCTGTCGATAATGTCCTGACGTTGTGGGAAGCGATGTGCATTTTGATGCGTCCGTAGTCCTTTTTCCGCCCCTGCCTTACACCGAGGTGTGGGCTTGTTGTGCAAAGTCGGGGGTCCTTCGCACGCCCATCTCGGGTCCAGATCATTCTATTTTCAAAGTTTTTGCCGATTTTCTTTTGCAGCAGTCCATTCGGGTTGGCAGCCCTCTTGTCCTATAGCTGCGTTTTTGGCTCGATTGTTCGCGGCTGCTTATTCGATATATTCGCAGCTAACCGCCACGGGGACGGCCGTTCCTCTATCCACAACCTGAGGACGCGCCAGATGGCTCCGAGCCTGAGCACACTGGAGTTGACAAATATATACACAACCTTAATCGTCGAAACTTTGCTCTCCGGCAGTAACTTCTGGTTGCTCTGAGCTTGCACGGGGGAGATCCTGAAGAGATCCTTTCCGAGTAATTCAGTTAACCAATGACTCCCTATTCAAGAATCAACGTTGCGATTCTTAATTGTACGCGTCCATGCAAGCCTTACTTTCGCGTGTGCTTTATCTGAGGATCCCACTTCCTGTCACCACCAATGAAGAGCGGGTTAAGAGTGTACAGACGCTTCATCGAAGTGCTCATGCAAAAGTTCTTCTTCTTAAAAGGTGGTGCTTAAACAGATCACGAAATATTCTCCCGCTATGATTTTACTTCTTTCCGAGGCTATATTTAGGAGCGGCCATTGTGCGCTGGTAACAGTCGAAAAGCTCCGCCAGTCCCTTGCATCGCACCGTGGACTCTTTCTGAATGACTTCAGAATACACTCCTTATATAGTGTAAAAGGCCGACAAGAGAACTGCTGTTCTTTCTCAAGTATATTGGCATCGGTGATCAAATAGTTGACATGTTGTGAAAGATAGGCTGGAGTTCCACTGCAACATGTAGGCCTCTTGCTGCGCCGCTTCAATCGATGTACTTAGTAGGCAAACAAAAGCAGGAGCCGTCCTACATATTTTCAGAGGAAGCCGATTTTTCAACTCCAAGCACTGTGAAATGCTGTGACAGAAGCTCTGGAGAGAGCATTGACACCACTCTCATACCTACAAAATGATCTCATAAGGTATACAATA